AACACTCTCAACCCCACATTGCATATTGTTTTAAAATTTCTGTGATAATATGCTTGTTTTTGTGCCGGGAAGATTGGTTGTTCTTGCAGGTACCTTCACTCCATCATCTCCTTAGTCTCGGTTTTGGGTTGAGTGTTCTTAGAGAGTGTGTTGTCAAGGAAAGCCAAAAAGGAGGAGATTGTTAATGTATGGTTTTTACTATTTTCTTTTGGCTTCCCTTGACAACTTTGTAATAGGATGTGTAATGTAATTTATCAAGCTCAAGTCTAGATTAGGGAAAACTTTTATTGGTGCTCTTCTCTAATCTCTGCTCTATGGTGGCTCAAGCAAGTTGACAAAGGTATTGAGCATTGCATATCATTACATTAAACAGTCTTCATAAAATGATGACTAGTCATCCGTTTCTCATATGACTAGTCATCCTTGCTTCCAGCTGTATAACAAACTGTTTTGTCATATTCTTCTTTCTCTCTCTCTCTGCTGCCAAATGGGTTTCTGACCTAAGGAATTTTTTGGTCTGTAAAGGCTACGATTTTGCTCATTTGGCGGCTGTCTCTTTTGGGGAGGAAGTTTTGGAAAGATTGGCTTGCGACCTTTCTCTTCTTCTTCCTCAAGAGAGAACCAAATATTTCATCTATGAGTTTTTCCAATTGATATCTTTTTGAAAAACTGCTTTTGAAACCCGAATCTGCATCTAGCCATTTAAATCATTCTCTCATTTATATCTAGGTCAAATTCAAGACTGATTTCTTCAAGATTATGGTTTCTTGAAGAAATTGGTCATTCTCCTTTGAATCCAAATATTGGTTTCGGTCTGTGTTGGAGCTTGCAAGCTAGTGCCATGGGATGAACGAGCTGGAGAAGGAGTTGCCATTGCCATGAAGAACTGAGCTTCGAGTTTTGCTAAGTTGGAGAAGAAGATTGCAAAAAGGAGGTATTGCTCATATTCCTAAATAGTAGGTGCTTCTTGAGCTTGGTTGTGTTTCCTTTGTAAGAATCTTTTTCTACTTAGTGGATTGCCTGGTCGATTGATGACTCCCAGTTTTTCCCAATGGTGGGTTTCTGGGTGAACAAAATCTGTTTTGTATATTTATAATTTTTCTGGGTTTGTGTTCTTGGTGGTTGACTAGTCATCTTTATCTGTTGTTTGATGTTTACATGATAATGATGATTTTACACACTTTCACCATAATTGTTGCTAGCACAGGGGATGACTAGATTGACGGGTCCTTCTGAGTGCCTAGGTTGTCACTAGTAATCTTCTAGGGTTGTAGGTACATTGTGGCATGCTCTGTGTATTCTCTTGATTGTGATTGTTCATGGCTAGCAGTTGACTAGTCATATGTGTATTTGGTCAAGGTTTAAAGTGTGTGAAGATTGCTGTCTTGTTGTGTCTTGTTTGTGTGATTAAATTTACCCCTCGTCACCTAAGTACCATTTTAAAAATAGAATCAATAAGAGGGCCACACCCAGGGGGTGTTGGCCAAAAGCCCTCCGATGCCTAAATTAGTTCAAGAGTTTGTAAGAGAAACACTAGCTAACTAGGGTACGGAGATGTGTTTATGGTGTAAACCGGCAACCGGAGCCTTATGTAAGAGAGAGAGAGAGAGAGAGAGAGAGAGAGAGAGAAGGTGGCTAGGGTTTGTGAGAGGAATTTTTTGCAGAGTTTCAGTAGAGATTTCGAACGTACCTCAACTCCTAATTTGATTAGGTAACTCCTCATTTAATTGGGAATTGTGGTATGAATCAAATCAATTCTCTATTTAATTAGGTAACTTTCAATATAATTGGGTAACTCCCAATTAAATTGAGTAACTCCCAATTAGGTTGAGTAATTCCCAATTAGGTCAAATAATCCCCAAATGGAAGGACTTATTTGACCTAGGGTATGATTTAATTCGGTTCCCACAAGCACTGAAATACAACCACAGCCCTTTCAAGGCAATGAGAATGAAGGAAATGATCATCTAAACAGTAATCATTTCCAGCAGTCGCCTGTTGTTTCCCCAGTGGATCATGATTCGAATGTGACATACGACATATCAGTTGATCGAATCCTTCTCTGCCGCACTTCGAATGTGCCAATGAATGTCCTGCAACATGTCACTTACAACTCAGAGAACAGCATGAAGAATCTCCTTGTTTTTGTGAGAATTGATAATGCCCTTGTATTTGATAGAGGTCGTGTGTTGAGCTGAACACGAATCATCGTCAAAAATTTCATCTTTTATATATGGTTTTGAATGTATAGTTGATGTCTTGTATGATTCTTAATTGTAAATAAAGGATGGGATTCATTGATTAGTACCAACAGATGGCAAGACCCTTGAGGTCGATGATAAGAGCAGTGATTTTTTCAATTTTTTTTTTAGTATTTTTCTGATGTGAAAATATAGTAGCTAATAGTAGTATAGAATGTATGTAATAATATTTCTTCAAGTTGTTGTACGAGGATCATTGGCAAATATATCAATCATATTGAAGAGATACATATATGGTGCTTGTTGTACCTTATTTATATGATAATAAATAATGATCTAGCATTTTCCTTCATCATAGTCTTAATCATAGACATTATATCTCCCCACATAGAGAGTGCCTTATGATCCCTGAAGAGCAATGAAGAACTATTTGTTATAAGATGTGTGCTTGATTTCATTATAAGTTCCTATCTTGATTTCATTATAAGATGTGTGCTTAATTTGGAAAATGGCCATTCTAAATTCCTTCGCTACATTTTTTGTAATATCACATGTGCTCGCAATTGTTCTTCAGCCTTGCCTTTGCCTCTGTTTCTATCTTAACTTTCCCTAACCACCAAAGGTTTTCCTAGCTAAATTTCTTTAAGGTTCAAGAAAAGTTTCTTGGTGAAAAAATGTTGGTTGCACTAGCTTAGCAACATGCACAACCAGCAGACAAATGAAGTAATATGTTATATTTAAGAATGAGATGCGACTTCTCATCTAACACATGTTGTTTGAATTCTTATTTTGAATAGTTCATATATCAATGTCATATGACCTCTGATACCTTCAATAAATTTCAATGAAGAACTAGTTGTTGTATTCATGGGTTTAACCTATATTATTTGTTATAAATAAAATTCATTTTTTATTCTTGCCCAATGGGCTAATAGCGGGAAATCATTAGAATGGGAGGTATCAGAAAGAATTTAAATTCTCATTTCCTAATATCACATGTATAAATTGAAGTAATAACTCTAGCCCAGCGTGGCTTTACTTTCCGAATACATTTGGATATTTAAAAGTATAGCCGCGCGGCTATACTCTTAAAAATATTTTAATGGTATAGCCGCACGGCTATACGCTTTGAATACATTTCAAACAAACACGAAGCTGCACTCGCATAGGACGGAGCTTGCAGACGCAGTCAAGTTTCGGCTGCTTCGTCCTCCTTGTTCGGCATCGAAAAATGACCCAACCCACCTAGGAGGCCCGCCCAGCCGCCTAGCGCCCGCCTAACCGCCTAGCGCCGGCCTAGCCGCCTAGCGCCCGCCTAGCCGCCTAGCCGCCTAGCCGTCCGCCTAGCCCCATTTTTTAAACATTGCGACTCACTGGAAGTCTGAAACCCGAAATTGAAAAAGTTTACCTGCAAATTTGATCTTGAGATTGAGATTTGGAAGCCGAAGCAAGCACAAGTCATGCAAAGCCTAAATACAAAATTTGCTGACTTTCCTTTCTTGTGAGTTTTGCTACCATAATTGGAATTATTTTCTGTTTAGTTTCTCTTCCTGTTGGTTTGAATGGTCTGATTGTTGATTGTGAATTTGCTAATTTTCATGCCATATCGTTAAGGAGTACCATTTTGACTCGGTTATTGTGGATTTCATATCAGTCAATATTAAAGATCTGGGAATGGGCTTGCAATTGCATTATAATCTGTTGTTTTTTTGTGTCACTACTGGTTGGTGTAATTTGAGGAAAGTGTTTGATCCGAATCTGTTTTTCTTCTTGTTTTGCATGTGGGTAGTTTAATTAAGTGGTTGGATTCTACTTTTTACTCTGGAATCATTAGATTAGCACGTTGGCTAGCCGTAATCGGTTATTGTTTTCACTTATAACTGTTACTAATTGTCTTACTTTTATGCCTTTTGGTTTCTGTTTATACAGATGGCTGGAACTTTTGGTTTTGGCCATGACTGGCTGGGTGAAGGAGCTTTTGAGGAATTATTGTAACAAGAATTTCAGAAATTGAGGTCTCTTGTGGCTTTTGGAATATTATTATCTCGGCGTATTATGAGATTCGATAGATTGTTCTTTAAAGAAATATCCATTATTGAATAAATTCTCTGTAGATATGCCATCATTATGCAAAATCTGACTGAGAGGCTTTGGCCCCTTGTGGGTTTGAAAGGCTAGGATTATTGTGTTATTTGGAAACTGAGTGAAGACCAAAGGTTAAGAGGAACCTTTTAATTAACAGTTACTAATTCATGTTTCTTTTTGTGACTAATTTTTATTTTATTTTATTATTTTTTAGGTTTATTGAGTTGATGGATTGTTGTTTTTCTGGGGCTGATGAGAACACTCAGACTAATGGAGGAAATGAACTTATTTTTCCAGTTTATCCAGTCCTTCCATGCAGAGATACAATGCAGCGCTCAAGAACAAATTCCTGTGATCTTCTTGCCCAGCTTCCTTCTTCTCTGTCCTTAGACTCTGGGTACCTATATATCCTTTTCATTTTCGCGTTTTTGTTTACTCATTCAATCATAATTACCAACTACCAAACATATCTTGACAAAAGAAATTAATTTGTGTTTTTATGTCATTAACCATGGGTTTTCATGAGCAGGATTGATGCACATCCATTAATATTAAACCAGCCCATTTGTTGAACTCATCTTCTAACAGAGATTCAAGTGCCATGGCAGTGAGCTCAAGTTCCGATTTTTCCTAGCTAGTTCCAAAAGAAAGTCATTTTCTGAACATATAATTAAATGTAACTATATGTTTCTACTTACATTTTGCAGGAAAGAGATGGGACCAGAGTTTTGGTTCCAAGTGCAGAGGGTTGATAGAGCTGTTTGTCTCCAAAGATGTATGATGTTTTATGATGCTTCACTCAAACCTTGCTTTAATTTCTTATGTTAGATTTTAAATTTTATTTTGGTCACATCTCTCACAAATATTTTTTTTTTGGTAGCTGTCAAATTCACAGATCTCTGATGCCCAACAATTGATTGATTATGTCACAGCCCAATGCAACATTTCACTGGAGCAAGACACCCTGCTTGGTGTTGGCCGCAATAGAAGCTTCCCTGTCAATATAAATGACATGAGCACTGAAATACAGCCACAGCCTTTCCAGGCAATGAGAATGAAGGAAATGATCATCTAAACAGTAATCATTTCCAGCAGCAGACTGTTGTTTCCCCAGTGGATCATAATTCGAATGTGCCATACAACATATCAGTTGATCGAATCCTTCTCTGCAGCACATCTCCAATGGATGTCCTGCAACATGTCACTTACAACTCAGAGAACAGCATGAAGAATGTCCTTGTTCTTGTGAGAATTGATAATGCCCTTGTATTTGATAGAGGTCATGTGTTGAGCTGAACACAAATGACCGTCAAAAATTTAATCTTTTCTATATGGTTTTGCATGTATAGTTGATGTTTTGTATGATTCTTAATTGTAGATAAAGGATGGGATTCATTGCTTAGTACCAACAGATGGCAAGACCCTCGAGGTCGATGATAAGACCAATGATTTTTTTTAATTTGAATCATAGTCTTCGTCATAGACATTATATCTCCACACTTAGAGAGTGCCATATGATCCCTGTTGGATTGAACCCTTACACATTTGATGCATTTCTTTGAACAGCTCCTCATTACCTTTGGCAAAAACTTTGAGATCCTTCATGAGGGTATCTAAGTCCTTGGAGCGACAATTGCTGTCAAGAATGAACCAAAAACATGTAGAACATAGTTCTTTTTTTCATAAGATTGTTTATGTATAGATTATAAGAAGCATAAAAAAAATGATGTTCTCACTTGTCAATGTCCTCGAGGAAATTTTGGTATTTTAGCGAAAGAGAAGGAAAAACAACGCTCTGGCAGCTTCGCTACCTATCTCGTCATTTTGGATCACTACATCTAGCAAGAGGAGAGAGAAATTCAAGCCTCACCAAATTTGAAAGCTGCGCAAGAGAGAGAGAGAGAGAGAGAGAGAGAGAGAGAGAGAAGAAAAAGCTAGAAGCTGCGCAAGAGAGAGAGAGAGAGAGAGAGAGAGAAAAGAAAAAGAAAGGTTCGGTGGTAGGCTACTTTTCATTTTGAGTTCTTTCTTTTAAATTTTTTAATGAATTTGAAATAATAAATATTTGAGGTTAGCTAAAATAGAGAGCATTGCTGGAGGAACCACCTTTTAAGTGGTTAGCTATTTTAACTAGAATTTGGGTAAAATTTGGAGACTCCTGGAAATGCTCTGACAGAGATCCAAATGGCAAACCTGGCAATTGTATGCTCCCATACTGTGAATGATGTTTCCAAGGCACATTCAAAATTACTAAAAGCAAAATTATCCAATATTTTAACGGTATAGCCGCACGGCTATACCCTTTAAACACATTTGAATTTTTTTAAAGTATAGCCGCGCAGACTGATATATCTCGTAGCGGAAAAGCAAGGTTGTCAAGTGCAATAAGAAAAAGGCTATAATTGGGTTTAGTTCATAATTACGATGGATACAATTTAGAAAGTAAATTACTGTACAGGCAATTTTATACTATGAAATTCAACATTCTTTGATCCACAAAATGTTGGCAAATCCTTTTATTTTATTTTATTTTTATTGGTATTTATGGGTTTAAACTGTATTATTTGTTATAAATAAAATTCAATTTTTATTCTTGCCCAATTGGCTAATAGCTGGAAATCATTAGAATGTGTGGTATCAGAAAGAATTTAAATTCTCATTCCCTAATATCACTTGTATAAATGAAGTAATTGAATGAATAACTTAAGCCCAATGGGCTAAAGTGGTATCTTAGCCCTAAACCTAAAATCATATGACAAAATTGTATATTTAAAGAGTATCGGTAATACTCTTTTAATATATTTGAACATTTCAAAGGTATTGTTGCGCGGCTATACACTATAACATTTTAAAAATTAAAAACGTATAGCCGAGCAGCTATACTCATTAAAAATATTCACGTTTTGGGGACAGAGAAACGAACACGAAGCTTGCAGTCGGAGTCACAGCCGTTTCCAAGCTTCAAAGACTCGGTCTTGAGCCTATCTCTCAACTCAAGTTTTGATTTTTTTTTCTTCGGTTTCGGCTGCTGCGTTGATTTGATTGGATTGGGCTCTTTCAATGTATGTAAAGATAGAGACTTCGTACTCCGGGCTGGGCACCGAAAAGAGACCCAACCTGCCTAGCAGCCTAGAGCCCGCCTAGGCCAATTTTTTGATAACTACAATTGATTGCAAGTCTGAAACCCCAAATTGAAAATTAAAATATCGACATGTAAAAGTTGTCAAATTGTTGGAGTTCCACGACAACAAGAAAACCGACAATTATATGACCCAAAAAAGATCATGGAGGTGTACAGAAAAATCAAAGTTCCAAAATAAGTTGGATTAAATCACTACTAATATAATCTCCACTTTAATCTAACAAATGAGTGAAAGAAACAAATGAAATTGACATTTTCAAACTCAGAAAGTATAGAACGGACTCGGAGAAATCCTTGAATTGATGTGAAACCGAGACATTCATTGCATCTCATAGAACTTGAACATGGCAACTCTCTAAACAACATTCAAACATTGAAATTTCCTTGTATATCTCCTATTTTGGGATTGGAAGGAGTAACAACACCAGCAATAGTAGCAGTAGAAACAATCATTTTATTCATAACCAAACCGAACTTCAAACAAATACTTAGTCACATCCATCTCATCACATTTACCTTGGAACCCCTCCATGGAGATTATCCTAATGTGTGAAGACAAACAAGTAAGCACAAATGTTGGTGGACGAAAAGGGTTGTTTTCTGTGTTCAACATACTATCAAGGTCTTGGAAAGAGATTCTAGATTAGGTGATCGGTTCATATATTCTATGAGCAATGTCCAGTAACCAAAATGAATAAGTCCAATCTCCAACTATTTCAAATGTTTAAAGATAACAGGCAAAAATAAACCATCCAAACTAGAAGCTGAAGAGAAAGATACGTAACAATGGAAATTCCTATAGTAAACGGAGGCACAAGGTAATCACAGGCTAGACTTTCACCTACTGGAAGCCTATAGGGACGAATTTTGGCTGCGGATTTTAGAAAACATAAAATGGCATATGAGCACCAACTGAAGACATCGACAATCAGGTTTTCAAGCTTTGGGGAATTGATGAAGAGTTGGAACATACGATTATTTCTAGTATTTGTGATGCTTATCTTCAATTCAAAGGCAGAGATTTTGAATCAACTCTAAAATTCCCAAGTATAGTCAAATCTTCAAGTACGGGGCACTTAGAAAAAAGTTTCTCCATTGAGGCACCATCTCCCTCATCAAATCTAACACAGAGGTACTTGAGACTCGGGAGATTGTCCTACATGTAATGCAAGTGTACATAAGAATGGTTTCTTCCCCTATTCTTGTGGAAAATATCCCTAGGTGCCCTTTTGACATTTGATAGTATCTCTTTACAGATCGAAGAAAACTTGAGAGACTTCTCGGCGAGGAAGCGATGATGCCTTCCCCACAAGATCCTGAGCGCTTCAGCTATCATATGATGGAGTTTCTATGGTCTTGCCAATAACAAGGTTCGGTTTCTGACTATTTGTTTCTGGTTTGTTAAGCAATAGATTGATTGGTTTGGTTCTTCTTGCTTGAAACTTGATAAATCTTGATGCATTCAATATTCATCCATTGATGGTTCTTCTTGGTTGGGCTGCTTTTCATTCTTTGGATATTGCATTTCTGTTATAGATTTTGACATTTGATCATACCCTCAAGTATACCCAGTTTAATTTTCCTTGTAAATGTAAATGTAGCATTTTTGTTGTTGTGGAATGTGTGCAGGTGTCCTGGCCTTGTGACTTCGAGTTTACCAGTAAATTTATTGGACAGCAAACACACAAACCTAGAGCTGATTGGCAAGTGGAAAATTTGGAGGTGTTATCATTGGGTTCATACTTAAATTTGGCCATAATACTTGAAATTATACAAAAACATTGCAAGAATTTTTATGGTTTAGATTTGTCCAAAGGCTCTGTTCATGAGAGTGAGGCATATTGTCAATTGTGAAGTTGGTGCCTAATATCAAGTACTTAAATTTGGAGGGTGCAAAAGTTAATCGGCTTTACTTTCTAAATACATTTGGATATTTTAAAGGTATAGCCGGTCGGCTATACTCTTTATATATTAATATATTCGAATATTTTAAGGGTATAGCCGAACGGCTATATGCTTTGAATATATTTGAAACAAACACGAAAGCTTGCACTGGCATAAGACGGAGCTTGCAGACGCAGTCAAGTTTCGGCTGCTTCGTCCTCCTTGTTCGGCACCGGAAAATGACCCAACCCACCTAGGAGGCCCGCCCAGCCACCTAGCACCTGCCTAGCTGCCTAGCGCCCGCCTAGCCGCCTAGAGCCCGCCTAGCCGCCTAGCCGTCCTCCTGGCCCCATTTTTTGAACACTGCGATTGACTGAAAGTCTGCAACACGAAATTGAAAAAGTTTACCTGCAAATTTGAGCTTGAGATTGAGATTTGGAAGCCGAAGCAAGCACAAGTCATGGGAACCCTAAATGCAAAATTTGCTGACTTGGTGTCTGTCTTCGGTGGAAGGAAATGATGAAGCTATCCTAACATGGAGTTTCTATGGTCTTGCCAATAACAAGGTTCGGTTTTTAGGCCCCAATCTCAAATTCTGACTATTTATTTCTGGTTTGGTTAAGCAATAGATCGATTGGTTTAGTTCTTCTTGCTTGAAACTTGATAAATCTTTATGCATTCAATATTCATCCATTGATGGTTCTTCTTGGTTGGACTGCTTTTCATTCTTTGGATATTGCATTTCTGTTATAGATTTTGACATTTGATCATGCCCTCTTGTTTGCTGATAGAAGAAAAAAAAGAAAGAAAGAAAGATTTGTCTCCTCCTCCTCTTGCATAGGAACACAAAACCAACCCACGAAAGAACAGAAAAAAATAAATAAATAAATAAATAAAAATTACACCACCTTAGTCCTGACCCAAATGACATTTGGAAACTGTCAAGCTAACTGTAGGGAAACCAGAGAGGCAACAGCAAACATTTTCTATAGAACTGAACCTACCTATCTTAGAAGATGGAGGGGCAGAAGAGTAGAAAATCAAATAGCTTACCATATATTTGTTGCTGGTTCTTCCTCACATATAATAGCAGGGTTAGGCCCAGGATCAGCAGTCCAGTAGACAACACAGTACTGGTTACTATGATCTTTGTATTGTGTCCTCGATCTAGGACACGGATTGAAGTATTTGAAAGCAGAAGATTGAGGAGTCAGAAATTCATAAAGAAGACATAAAGAAGAAATCTAGGCCTGGATTTCTTATATTTGTGTAGTTCGAACAAAATAAATATAAAAAAAGTCTTTGATAGGAGTTCAATGTTCACTTCTTCGCATTTTTGCACTGGAAGATGTTGGTTTAGTTGAGGCTCATGTAATCTCTCTTAATATCAAAAACCAAAAAACAAATCCATGTTTTTACACTTGGTCGCTCCTGGCTCTGATTGTTTCCCTCCTTGGCTGATCCCACATGAAAAAAAAAGGCTACATGATCTCAATCAAAACTAACATTACTATATTCACCCAAAGATATCAATCAGGAAATAAAAGATGGCAATCGCAGGCCATATAAGTTGAACCTTTGAACATCAGCACTATGAGCCAGTTTGGCGCAGCACTGCCTTCAAAGCTATCATATAACCATATTTTGATATTGCCATCCACCGATGTTGAAAAGACAACTGCGGCATGAAGCATGAAAACAAGTGTTGGATAATATATTGCAGGAACCGGAAAGTAAATCAGATGATTCAGAACAAAAACTTCACCAGAACCACAACATCAAACCCAAAGTGGCCCTTACATGGACATTTTCTTTGGTATGAGGACAGACAGAATAGACAGGAGCTTCATGACCTTCAAAAGTAAACTGTCTTTGGCTACAAAATATATCCCAAACCTTAAACATACATTAATGAAACCAACCTTGACGGTCTTGTCATCAGCACAAGTTATGACCAAAAGTTGGTTGTGAGGGGAAAAGAATGCCAAAATCATTTACACTTCCTAAGTGAGCATCAATCTACGTAAGAAAAATGATGGGTTGGGTTTATAGTCACGTACTCAAAAGTTGCAGTTTCCTTGAGAATTTGTGTTCTTTTTCATAACTTACTTCTAATTGTTGTTGCCTCCATTATAAGAATATAATTGCACAATGCGCTTTGCATATGCAACCCCAGTTCATTGAAGAACACGACGGCAGTGAATTTGAACTACAAGAACTGAAAATCAGCAACTCCATACCATTTTAAGTATGAGAACATTCTCACAAAATATAGAACCATCAGGACTCTGTCGGATATGATTAACAGATACTTATGAATCTTTGACCAGAGCTTCCTGAAATAATTGACATTTGTTCAAATTTCGGATCATATCAGTAAGGTTGAGAGAGTAGTACGTAATCCAGAAGCAGATGCACCTTTAAGGCCATTGGGCCTGCATCAAGATTCCAGACTCTAAAATTTCTTGAAAGCAACTTTTTCCCTGAACTAACACATCCCATAGTCCTATGTCTCCAACACCCCCAGGTTCCGACTGAAGAATCACATTAGCAGGATTCATGAGTGAACTATAAAAACTAGTTACTGCACACGATCATTCTAAAAAGACAGGAAATTTAAAAACGATGGGAGAAAAAAACTTTGAGATCCTTCATGAGGATATCTAATGCCTTGGAGCGACAATTGCTGTCAGGAATGAACAAAAACGTGCAGAACATGGTGTTTTTTAAGGTTGTTTATGTATAGATTATAAGAACACAATCAAAACATATCTTACTTTCAAACTGTTCCTAGTCGATAGAGACAGAGACAAACAGTCCTGCCATTCACAAACACAATCAATGAAAAGAGTCTTAATGACTGGATTTGGACGAGGGTCTTTACACTGTTAATGCTGCCAATTCAAGTTGTCAAGTTAAACACACAAGTCAGTGTCTCTCCCAATTACAAAAAACAGAAAGTGACTAAATCTTTTACTAAATATGAGAATAACAACTACTCTCAATCTCACACAAACGCGCACTGGCGTATGTGTGAACATATGCAATCACAAAATAGAAAGGAAGACCAAAACTAGAGAGGAAGCATTACCTTTGGTTAATGAGTTTATGTAATCTATGACTTTTGATGCTAGGATACTTCAGTTTGCCAAGCAGCCGCAGTCAAGTTTAGGCTGCTTCGTCCTCCTTGTTCGGCACCAAAAAATGACCCAACCCGCCTAGGAGGCCCACCCAGCCGCCTAGCGCCCGCCTAGCCCCATTTTTTGAACACTGCGATTGACTGGAAGTCTGAAACCCGAAATTGAAAAAGTTTACCTGCAAATTTGAGCTTGAGATTGAGATTTGGAAGCCGAAGCAAGCACAAGTCATGGGAACCCTAAATACAAAATTTGCTGACTTGGGGATTATTTTCTGTCTTGTGAGTTTTGCTACCATAATTGGAATGATTTTCTTTTTGGTTTCTCTTCCTGTTGGTTTGAATGGTCTGACTGTGAATTTGCTACAATGTATGAATGAGGGGTCGAAACTTGGCTCCTTTACTTGATAGTATTTTCTAATTTTCATGCCATATCGTTAAGGAGTACCATTTTGACACGGTTATTGTGGATTTCATATCAGTCAATATTAAAGATCTGGGAATGGGCTTGCAGTTGCGTTATAATCTGTTGTTTTTTTGTGTCACTACTGGTTTCTGAGATGGTTATTCTTCATTTTGTTTTTCTTCTTGTTTTGCATATGGGTACTTTAATTAAGTGGTTGGATTCTACTTATTACTCTGGAATCATTAGATTAGCACGTTGGGCTAGCCGTAATCGGTTATTGTTTTCACTTATAACTGTTACAAATTGTCTTACTTTTATGCCTTTTGGTTTCTGTTTATACAGATGGCTGGAACTTTTGGTTTTGGCCATGACTGGCTAGGTGAAGGAGCTTTTGAGGAATTATTGTAACAAGAATTTCAGAAATTGAGGTCTCTTGTGGCTTTTGGAATATTATTATCTCTGCATATTATGAGATTCGATAGATTGTTCTTTAAAGAAATATCCATTCTTGAATAAATTCTCTGTAGATATGCCATCATTATGCAAAATCTGACTGAGAGGCTTAGGCCCCTTGTGGGTTTGAAAGGCTAGGATTATTGTGTTATTTGGAAATTGAGTGAAGACCAAAGGTTAAGAGGAACCTTTTAATTAACAGTTACTAATTCATGTGTCTTTTTGTGACTAATTTTTATTTTATTTTATTATTTTTTAGGATGGATTGTTGTTTTTCTGGGGCTGATGGGAACACTCAGACTAATGGAGGAAATGAACTTAGTTTTTCAGTTTATCCAGTCCTTCCATGCAGAGATGCAATGCAGCGCTCAAGAACAAAATTCCTGTGATCTTCTTGCCCAGCTTCCTTCTTCTCTGTCCTTAGACTCTGGGTACCTATATATCCTTTTCATTTTCGCATTTTTGTTTACTCATTCAATCATAATTACCAACTACCATTCATATCTTGACAAAAGAAATTAATTAGTGTTTTTATATCATTGACCATGGGTGCTCATGAGCAGGATTTATGCACATCCATTAATATCAAACCAGCCAATTTGGTTGAATTCATCTTCTAACAGAGATTCAAGTGCCATGGCAGTGAGCTCAAGTTCCCATTTTTCCTAGCTAGTTCCAAAAGAAAGTCCTTTTCTGAACATATAATTAAATGTAACTATATATTTCTACTTACATTTTGCAGGAAAGAGATGAGACCAGAGTTTTGGTTCCAAGTGCAGAGGGTTGATTGAGCTGTTTGTCTCCAAAGATGTATGATGTTTTATGATGCTTCACTCAAACCTTGCTTTAATTTCTTATGTTAGATTTTAAATTTTATTTTGGTCACATCTCTCACAATTTTTTTTTTTTTTTTTTTTTTTTTTCTGTCAAATTCACAGGTCTCTGATGACCAACAATTGATTGATATATCACAGCCCAATGCAACATTTAACTGGGGCAAGACACCCTGCTTGGTGTCGACTGCAATACAAGCTTCCCTGTCAATATAAATGACATGAGCACTGAAATACAGCCACAGCCCTTTCCAGGCAATGAGAATGAAGGAAATGATCATCTAAACAGATCATTTCCAGCAGCCGCCTGTTGTTTCCCCCAGTGGATCATGATTCAAATGTGCCATACAACATATCAGTTGATCGAATCCTTCTCTGCAGCACGTCTCCAATGAATGTCCTGCAACATTTAACTTACAACTCAGAGAACAGCATGAAGAATGTCCTTGTTCTTGTGAGAATTGATAATGCCCTTTTATTTGATAGAGGTCATGTGTTGAGCTCAACACGAATGACCGTTAAAAATTTCATCTTTTATATATGGTTTTGCATTTATAGTTGATGTCTTGTATGATTCTTAATTGTAGATAAAGGATGGGATTCATTGCTTAGTATCAACAGATGGCAAGACCCTCGAGGTTGATGATAAGACCAATGATTTTTTTGAATTTTTTTGAATTTGTATTTTTCTGATGTGAAAATATAGTGGCCAATAGTACTATAGAATGTTATGTAATAATATTTCTTCAATTCTTATACAAGTTGTTGTACGAGGATCATTGGCAAATATATCAATCATATTGAAGAGATACATATATGGTGCTTGTTGTACCTTATTTATATGATAGTGAATAATGATCTAGCATTTTCCCTCATCATAGACATTATATCTCCACACATAGAGAGTGCCTTATGATCCCTATTGGATTGAACCCATACACATTTGATGCATTTCTTTGAACAGCTCCTCATTACCTTCGGCAAAAACTTTGAGATCCTTCAAGAGGATATCTAATGCCTTGGAGCGACAATTGCTGTCAAGAATGAACAAAAACATGCAGAACATGGTGTTTTTTAAGATTGTTTATGTATAGATTATGAGAAGCTTCAAAAAAATGTTCTCAGTTGTCAATGGCCTCAAGGAAATTTTGCTTTCTGATCTGGAAATAGATCTTTGTCGCATAGCGATTGTTATGTCTATTTCATATTGACATATTGGAGACATCAAATCTGGTTGAGAGGAAAAATGTGAGTGTCATTTTTGGAAGAATAAAACTTAGTCCAAGAGTATAGACGTGCGGCGATACTATTTATAAAATAAAATAAAAATGACCCGCCCAGCCCCCGCCTAGGTGGCCGATTTTTGGAAAACTTGAATGGCGTTTTTTTTTCAGATTTCCTTTTTCCTGGCTGGTCTGGCATCTCTGCAAATACATCAAGCTGGAGTTTTAGCAACTCACGTTTAGATCTCCATAGTCGGATCTGTATGAGTTTGAGTACGAGATTCAATCTTGGTAGCATCTCCAGGTTCACCTAAAACAAACATAACACTTAATTGTGAGTTTGACGGGATACTGTTGGACTACTCACGGCAACGTGCCACGCCTGAAACCTTGGAAATTGGCAGAGGTGGGGTTGGCCCATTCGTAACTAGTGTCTTGTGGGGGGAAGGGATTGGGTGAATATAGTGCTTTCTAATTAATGTTGTCTATGCCACAATGCAGGCTGCATCCCTCAAAAAGAGTGGCAGTATTCCGTTTCTGAAAAATATTTGTGGCATATATAATTCTTTTGATATTTGCAATTGTGGTAGTTTTGAAGACCTTTACAACAGCTGAAACTATGTTGAATGTTCGAACCCTTAGGGAATGGATTTCATCTTCTCTCGGGTCAGTGCACTGCTAGCACTTCTTCAGGTTATTAACACATTGCTTCAGTTCAGGACTTGCTTAATAATCTTTGGGTTAATTTAAAGTTTAAACAAATGTGAATGAGCTTGGGAGTGGGCGGAATGATCATATTTGGAATAGCTTAGTAATTTTATAATTGAATAATTTAGTCCTCAAGATGGTATGACGGAGTGAAGGTTTATTATGTCTTTGTAGTTAATCATTGATTTTGTCATATAAAATTTAGTCCTCTTTCTCATGATTGAGTGTAACAATTTCAGGCCGGATGCAGTTGCAAAGCATATGGAATGGTAGCAGTCAGCACTAATCTTACAGTATGGCAATTTCCTTTGTTCTCTTGCCTTTAGTTGATTAAACATTCAGATTATCACTAAATTTAACTAACAATTTTTCATTATCCGTTGGTGATTATGAATTTTTGTGCTTTTTTCTTTTCAATTTCGAGGGTGATGCTATTTATTGAGTTCATCAGGACGAAAGTCCTAAAGATATCCTTGTTATTTCTATTTCATATTGAGTTGATGGTGATGCTATTTGATGTTTAACTCAAGTATAAATATGCATTTCATGAACCCTCATAGGGTTCCTCCTGCTTGTAGATTGCCACTAATAATGGATACCCTCCGATTTCTTATATTTATTTGCAGATCAGATCATGTATTGTTTATCTTTAATTTTTGTTAGAGATTCAATCCCACTAGAGCCCAAACTTATAACTAGTGATCCCGATCAATCGTCCCGACCCTTTTCTTCTTTGTCAAAGAGAGATTTGTGAGTTTTGGCTCAAGTGACAAGGTTGAAATGTGATCAAGATCATCTGGACTCGATCTCTACCCATCATAATTGTGTAATAATCCTGTCAATATATTCATACAAAAAAGTGGCTCTTGGTGAGAGATGGCAAAGCGAAATAAAAGTTGCACTCCATCCTCAACAAAGTTTGGGGTATGGATCTTAGATTTTAAGTGCACACCATTCTTGACAGAGTTGATATGTTAGGATATTGAGCTTAGATTTTAAGTTTTAATTCTCAAGTTTTTGGCCATGTTCCAAAACCATATAGTGAACTTAAAACTTAGGTTAGAAACGGGTGTACATCGAAATTTACACTAGTCGCAATTGGCCAACGACAATAATCGGCAATGGCAGCTAGGCACATCCGTTCCAAAAGAGAGAATGAATCTGGCGGGAAAAAAATTTAATTTTAATTTTAAAATAAATAACTAAATAAGGGTATAGCCGAACGGCTATATTGTTTAAATATATTATTTAAGGACTTTTTGAATATATTATTTAAGTAGTATAGCCGGGTGGCTATACTATTTATTTATATAAAAAAAGGACCCGCCTAGCCCGCCTGGGTGGCCCATTTTTGGAAAACTTGAATGGCGTAGTTTTTTCTTTCAGATTTCCTTCTTCCTGGCGTGTCTGGCATGAAATTTATAATAAATTTCAGCCCAAAATCAAGTTTTATGTAAAGGATATAGCCGGTGGCTATACTATTTTTATAATAAAAACTCTAGTATAGCCGATCGACTATACATTTTTTTAAATAAAAATCCGTGTATAGCCGTACGGCTATCCTATTTATAATTAAAAAAAGACCACCACCTGGCTTCTAGCACTACTTTGCCACGTGTCAAAAAAATCCAAGTACAGCCGAACAGCTATAATATTTTTATTTTAAAACAACACTGAGTATAGCCGCACGGCTATATTATTTATAATTACAAATAAGACCACCGCCTGGCAACTTTCGCCAGTTCCACGTGTCGAAAAGGTATAGCCGCGCGGCAATATTGTTTTTTACAATGCTATATATTATTTAAAGAGTATAGCCGCCCGGCTATACCGTTTTTCTTTTTTTTTCTTTTTTTGAAAAAGGTCCCGCCTAGGCAGCCGATTTTTGGAAAACTTGAATGGCATTTTTTTAATTTAGATTTCTTGTTTCCTGGCGGGTCTCACTCTCTATTTTCTGTACACAAATTTATTGAGGGTTTAGACAGGATGGGAATGGATTTAATAGAAACTGGAAATCGAGATGCATTCAAACAGTATCTGTCGGAGTTTGATAACACCATTCATTTGTAGAGGATCAGTAACTTGGGGATTATTTTCTGTCTTGTGAGTTTTGCTACCATAATTGGAATGATTTTCTTTTTAGTTTCTCTTCCTATTGGTTTGAATGGTCTAATTGTGAATTTGCTACAATGTTATAAATGCGGGGTTGAAACTTGGCTGGGTGAAGGAGCTTTCGAGGAATTATTGTAACAAGAATTTCAAAATTTGAGGTATCTTGTGGCTTTTGGAAGATTATGATCTCTGCATATTATGAGATTCGATAGATTGTTCTTTAAAGAAATATCCATTATGCAAAATCTGACTGAGAGGCTTAGGCCCCTTGTGGGTTTGAAGACCAACAATTGATTGATTATATCACAGCCCAACGCAACAGAAGTGTGTAAAAGAAGGCGTTGAGAATCTCTTCGAGGGAGCAACCTGCTTGATTTCGAGGGTGAAAGGCGTAGAGTTCGTCTGGTCCATCTCCTTACGTAGTGCGTCTTCGAAATTCCTGCCGGTCTTCAAGTCTCAAAGTCGGTCATTCACAAGCTTCTCAACGTCTTTCGCACACATTGCTAGTCTATCACGTTGGCGATCTTCGTAATTTAGGCGATGTTGATTGAATTCCTCGTTGATTTGCGAGTGTCGACCTTCTCGCCTACGCTGCTTAGGCGGCGTGTTGGTGGACTGTGCTTACGAAGGATTTTTTGTAGCTTGTCGACGAGAATCAACTCTTCGAGAGTGAGCAGCGAAGCGCCCTTCCTCATGGTCCTCATTGTGGGGGTTGTCCAGTTGACCACCCTTAGGGCCTAGCCTTTCGTGAATGCTCCTCTGCGAGTGGACAGCTGAGAGCCTTTCTTCACGATCCTTGTTGCGATGGTTGTCTGGTTGACCTCTCTGGGGGCCTAGCCTTTGATGTACATTTCCCTGCGGACCCAAGTTGGCGCGGATGTCAAGTCGTGGGCCCAGCCTTTTGTGCACGTTGTTCCTTAAACTCAATCAGCTCTAAGTGTGGCTCGCAGATGCTTGCGACATGTCGGCAGGACGATCACGTTGTTATCCCTTGCCTTGTCTGCTCATTCCTGCTCAACCTGCTTGGTACTCGTCGAGTTGCCTATCGGCGCGTTCGTCCATCATTCTCTCTTCGCTCGATTGTCCAAGGCCAAGGTTTTGAGCCAGGCTTATTTGGTTGAGGAGCTACCTCATCAGATTGCTTTGGTCGTCCATTCTCTAAGCTAGCTGGTCAACTCTCAAATTAAGGTCTGCTTGACTTCGTGGATCGGGAGGAGAGAAGTGCGTAGAGCCCAATTGCACATGGGCTAGGGTTTCATTAGAGGTGTACGCGGGAGCGTGCGTTGAGCGTGGAGGCAACGCTTGGAGTTGCTCCAAGATTAGGCCTAAGTCGACGGTGGTAATGAGCCCACCTTGATGGGAGGTTCCACCATGTTCAGCTGCGGTGGCTGGTGCAGTGGTCTCAGCTGTGAGTCCGATAGGTGGCATGGTGGTGAGAGATGGTGGTGCCACCATGTCGATTGCGGGATCGTGGGTAGAATGGCTTTGGGCCGTCGCGGATTTAGCCATCACAGCAGTTTTGCCTCACATCTTCTTGCTTCCAACCATGGTTGTTTGGAAGGTTTTGGTGGATTGGAAAATAGGAGGAACGGATTCCTTGAGCACGCATTGAGTATAACTCGTGTTCTCAGTGAAAGCACCAATTTGTGGGAGCAAATTTCCCCACGAGAATATTCTATCGGAAATATTCCCCTTCCTTCTCCGCCGTCTCTTTCTCCCTGCAAAATAGAATCAATAAGAGGGCCACACCCGGGGGGTGTTGGCCAAAAGCCCGTCGATACCTAAATTAGTTCAAGAGTTTGTAAGAGAAACACTAGCTAACTAGGGTACGGAGATGTGTTTATGGTGTCAACCGGGCGGCCGGAGCCTTATGTAAAAGAGAGAGAGAGAGAGAGAGAGAGAGAGAGAGAGAGAGAGAGAGAGAGAGAGAGAGAGAGAGAGAGAGAAGGTGGCTAGGGTTTGTGAGAGGAATTTTCTGCAGAGTTTCAGTAGAGATTTCAGACGTACCTCAACCTGTGTGTGACCATCTTTTTATAGTGGTCTTGGAGGCTAGGGTTTTAGAGGAATAATTCCGTAGATGGAATGGAATTATTCCTCCCCTATTTGGAATTGATTTTATTAATTAGGGATTTGGTTTATTAGGGTAAATTAAATCCCTAATTGTGGTTGGTATCAAATCAATTCCTAATTTGATTAGGTAACTCCTCATTTAATTGGGAATTGTGGTAGGAATCAAATCAATTCTCTATTTAATTAGGTAACTTTCAATTTAATTGCTTAACTCTCAATTAGGTTGAGTAATTCCCAATTATGTCAAATAATCCCCAAATGGAAGGACTTATTTGACCTAGGGTCTGATTTAATTCGGTTCCCACAAGCACTGAAATACAACCACAGCCCTTTCAAGGCAATGAGAATAAAGGAAATGATCATCTAAACTGTAATCATTTCCAGCAGTCACCTGTTGTTTCCCCAGTGGATCATGATTTGAATGTGACATATGACATATCAGTTGATCGAATCCTTCTCTGCCGCACTTCGAATGTGCCAATGAATGTCCTGCAACATGTCACTTACAACTCAGAGAACAGCATGAAGAATCTCCTTCTTTTTTGTGAGAATTGATAATGCCCTTGTATTTGATAGAGGTCGTGTGTTGAGCTGAACACGAATGATCGTCAAAAATTTCATCTTTTATATATGGTTTTGAATGTATAGTTGATGTCTTGTATGATTCTTAATTGTAAATAAAGGATGGGATTCATTGATTAGTACCAACAGATGGCAAGACCCTCGAGGTCGATGATAAGAGCAGTGATTTTTTCAATTTATATTTTAGTATTTTTCTGATGTGAAAATATAGTAGCTAATAGTAGTATAGAATGTATGTAATAATATTTCTTCAAGTTGTTGTACGAGGATCATTGGCAAATATATCAATCATATTGAAGAGATACATATATGGTGCTTGTTGTACCTTATTTATATGATAATAAATAATGATCTAGCATTTTCCTTCATCATAGTCTTCATCATAGACATTATATCTCCACACATAGAGAGTGCCTTATGATCCCTGAAGAGCAATGAAGAACTATTTGTTATAAGATGTGTGCTTGATTTCATTATAAGTTCCTATCTTGATTTCATTATAAGATGTGTGCTTAATTTGGAAAATGGCCATTCTAAATTCCTTCGCTACATTTTTTGTAATATCACATGTGCTCGCAATTGTTCTTCAGCCTTGCCTCTGCCTATGTTTCTATCTTAACTTTCCCTAACCACCAAAGGTTTTCTTAGCTAAATTTCTTTAAGGTTCAAGAAAAGTTTCTTGGTGAAAAAATTTTGGTTGCACCAACTTAACAACAGGCACAACCAGTAGACAAATGAAGTAATATGTTATATTTAAGAATGAGATGCTACTTCTCATCTAACACATGTTGTTTGAATTCTCATTTTGAATAGTTCATATATCAATGTCATATGACCTCTGATACCTTCAATAAATTTCAAAACATAGCTGCAAACTTCTCTTCGTTGTCTCGTTAGACTGTTTTGTATCCAATTTTTCTTCAAGAAAGTAAATCGCTATACAAGCAATTTTATACTATGAAATTCAACATCCTTTGATCCACAAAATGTTGAGGGATTTTGTTGTCGTTGTTGTATTTATGGGTTCAACCTATATTATTTGTTATAAATAAAATTCATTTTTTATTCTTGCCCAATGGGCTAATAGCGGGAAATCATTAGAATGGGAGGTAACAGAAAAAAAATCTCATTTCCTAATATCGCATGTATAAATAAAATAATTGTAGTAATAACTCTAGCCGTTAAAAGTATAGCCGTTCGGCTATACTCTTAAAAATATTTTAAGGGTATAGCCGCACGGTTGTACTCTTTGAATACATTTGAAACAAACACGAAGCTTGCACTCGCATAGGACGGAGCTTGCAGACGCCGTCAAGTTTCGGCTGCTTCGTCCTCCTTGTTCGGCACCGAAAAATGACCCAACCCACCTAGGAGGCCCGCCCAGCCGCCTAGCGCCCGCCTAGCCGCCTAGGAGCCTAGCTGTCCGCCTAGACCCATTTTTTGAACACTGCGACTGACTGGAAGTCTGAAACCAGAAATTGAAAAAGTTTACCTGCAAATTTGAGCTTGAGATTGAGATTTGGAAGCCGAAGCAAGCACAAGTCATGCAAACCCTAAATACAAAATTTGCTGACTTGGGGATTATTTCCTTTCTTGTGAGTTTTGCTACCAAAATTGGAATTATTTTCTGTTTAGTTTTGGTTTGAATGGTCTGATTGTGAATTTGCTAATTTTCATGCCATATCGTTAAGTTGTACCATTTTGACTCGGTTATTGTGGATTTCATATCAGTCAATATTAAAGATCTGGGAATGGGCTTGCAGTTGCATTATAATCTGTTGTTTTTTTGTGTCACTACTGGTTGGTGTAATTTGAGGAAAGTGTTTGATCCGAATCTGTTTTTCTTCTTGTTTTGCATGTGGGTAGTTTAATTAAGTGGTTGGATTCTACTTTTTACTCTGGAATCATTAGATTAGCATGTTGACTAGCTGTAATCGGTTATTGTTTTCACTTACAACTGTTACAAATTGTCTTACTTTTATGCCTTTTGGTTTCTGTTTATACAGATGGCTGGAACTTTTGGTTTTGGCCATGACTGGCTGGGTGAAGGAGCTTTTGAGGAATTATTGTAACAAGAATTTCAGAAATTGAGGTCTCTTGTGGCTTTTGGAATATTATTATCTCTGCGTATTATGAGATTCGATAGATTGTTCTTTAAAGAAATATCCATTATTGAATAAATTCTCTGTAGATATGCCATCATTATGCAAAATCTGACTGAGAGGCTTTGGCCCCTTGTGGGTTTGAAAGGCTAGGATTATTGTGTTATTTGGAAATTGAGTGAAGACCAAAGGTTAAGAGGAACCTTTTAATTAACAGTTACTAATTCATGTTTCTTTTTGTGACTAATTTTTATTTTATTTTATTATTTTTTAGGTTTATTGAGTTGATGGATTGTTGTTTTTCTGGGGCTGATGAGAACACTCAGACTAATGGAGGAAATGAACTTATTTTTCCAGTTTATCCAGTCCTTCCATGCAGAGATACAATGCAGCGCTCAAGAACAAATTCCTGTGATCTTCTTGCCCAGCTTCCTTCTTCTCTGTCCTTAGGCTCTGGGTACCTATATATCCTTTTCATTTTCGCATTTTTGTTTACTCATTCAATCATAATTACCAACTACCATACATATCTTGACAAAAGAAATTAATTAGTGTTTTTATATCATTAACCATGGGTTTTCATGAGCAGGATTTATGCACATCCATTAATATTAAACCAGCCCATTTGTTGAACTCATCTTCTAACAGAGATTCAAGTGCCATGGCAGTGAGCTCAAGTTCCCATTTTTCCTAGCTAGTTCCAAAAGAAAGTCATTTTCTGAACATATAATTAAATGTAACTATATGTTTCTACTTACATTTTGCAGGAAAGAGATGGGACCAGAGTTTTGGTTCCAAGTGCAGAGGGTTGATTGAGCTGTTTGTCTCCAAAGATGTATGATGTTTTATGATGCTTCACTCAAACCTTGCTTTAATTTCTTATGTTAGATTTGAAATTTTATTTTGGTCACATCTCTCACAAATATTTTTTTTTTTGGTAACTGTCAAATTCACAGATCTCTGATGACCAACAATTGATTGATTATGTCACAGCCCAATGCAACATTTCACTGGAGCAAGACACCCTGTCAATATAAATGACATGAGCACTGAAATACAGCCACAGCCTTTCCAGGCAATGAGAATGAAGGAAATGATCATCTAAACAGTAATAATTTCCAGCAGCCCCCTGTTATTTCCCCTGTGGATCATGATTCGAATGTGCCACACAACATATCAGTTGATCGAATCCTTCTCTGCAGCACGTCTCTAATGAATGTCCTGCAACATGTCACTTACAACTCAGAGAACAGCATGAAGAATGTCCTTGTTCTTGTGAGAATTGATAATGCCCTTGTATTTGATAGAGGTCATGTGTTGAGCTGAACACGAATGACCGTCAAAAATTTATTCTTTTCTATATGGTTTTGCATGTATAGTTGATGTTTTGTATGATTCTTAATTGTAGATAAAGGATGGGATTCATTGCTTAGTACCAACAGATGGCAAGACCCTCGAGGTCGATGATAAGACCAATGATTTTTTTGAATTTGAATCATAGTCTTCATCATAGACATTATATCTCCACACATAGAGTGTGCCTTATGATCCCTGTTGGATTGAACCCATACACATTTGATGCATTTCTTTGAACAGCTCCTCATTACCTTCGGCCAAAACTTTGAGATCCTTCATGACGGTATCTAAGTCCTTGGAGCGACAATTGCTGTCCAGAATGAACCAAAAACATGCAGAACAGAGTTCTTTTTTTCATAAGATTGTTTATGTAAAAAAATGATGTTCTCACTTGTCAAT